GCAGAGGCTTAGCGGTGTTTTATTCCCCCGTTCTGGGTGACATGAGCTGGGTGGGCAGGCGGAGGGGACAGGGACGCAATGACTTTGTGGGGACCCAGCGGGTTTTTGCCTCATGCCCCAGGGGCACCTTCTTGCGCTTCCTCTCCGCTGCTTTGATTTCTCATCCGCGCTCCCGCAGGCGTAAGGACCTTGAAAGGAGGTGAGCCGGGCTCTAATGCGCTCGCTCGCTTTATTCCTGCGTGGCCTTAGATGCTTGGCACCCGTTTGTTTTTGTTTTTTTTTTTTTGGCTCCGTTCATATCCACTCCCAGCTGCGAGTCTCGGAGCAGCGGCCCTGTCTGAGCCACGGCTGCGCGTGCAGGGAGCTCCTTCGGGGCTCGGGCTGTGCCTGGCCTCCCCACATCCTCTCCCAAACTCCCAGTTCTGTCCAGTTCTCAAAGTGGGGACGCTGATCCCTGGGTTTTGGGGCAGCCTGGGGTGCACAGGAGTCCCCGAAAGCGGGTGTGCCCCGGGGCAGGGGTCCCGTTTCCCCTCCTTCTCCTCGGCTGGGTCCGCCGCCAGGCCGCTCAACACTGCTCTCTGTGCCCTCAGGTTTTGCGGGGAGTGCCTGCAGCCCTGCCTCCAAGTGCCGTCCCCGCTCTGCCCGCTCTGCCGCATGCCCTTCGACCCCAAGAAGGTGGAGAAAGCTTCCAGCGTGGAGAAGCAGCTTTCGTCCTACAAAGCTCCCTGCAGAGGCTGCAGCAAGAAGGTAAAGCTTGCGGCAGGGGAAAGCTGCCTGTCCCCGTCCCTCGTGGGCACAGCTTTATTCGGCTGCCGATCCCGCAGCCGCGGTGCTGGGGGAGGGAGGTGGTTTGCTGCCCGCGGTTGGGTTTGCGGAGTCCCCCCGTTTGGTGGGTTCCCGAACCGTGCCTGCGAGGTGTGGTGGTGTCCCCTGCGTGTCACGGCTGCCACCGCGAGCCAGGCGAGCAGGGCTACATGGAGACGAAGGCGCGCTCTCCTCGCTGCCTTTGTCAGCAGACCGGAGCTATTATTAGACAGTGGGGACCTTCAAAAGCAGGCTGAGGTTTTCCTGCAACATGGGAGGCACTGAGACAAACCAGCTCTGCTGCTGCTCCTAACGAGGGTAAGGATTTAGGTCTTGCTCAAGGTGCCGTGATCCCAGCGGCTGTGGGGGAGCTGAACTGGCAGCGTGGCCTGGCTCAGCCCGGGGCAGTCTGGTCTGGGACGCTTCAGGGACTGGCCGTAGAGCTGTGATTCATGGTGTTTCTCCGCTGATGCGTTTTTTGGCTTCCGTTAACTTTGGGGATCTTCTTGAAACTCCCTGGCTGCAGGCCAGGAGTGATCCCGTACAGTGTCAGAGCAGTTTAGGGCTTCCGCCTGTCAGCAGTTCCTCTTTTGCAAAGGAAAATGGAGTGCTGCAGTAACGCAGCCTGGGTGGCTTGTGCGTGCCCTCTGGGGCCACGTGCAGCGAGCGTGCAGCTCCAAATCTCTGTCCTGCAAGGAAGGACGGGCTGCTGCAGCGTTTCCACGCTGGTGTGGGTCATCCTGCGCAGACCAGTGCTTGCTCTGACGTCGGCTCTCCTGAGCCATAGCCAGCTGTGTCTGGACAGTGTTCCTGCAGCCTCCAGGAACATTTCTTCTCTCCTTGTTCTCCAGGTGACCCTTGCGAAAATGCGCTCTCACGTCTCGTCCTGCGCGAAGGTGCAGGAGCAGATGGCCAACTGCCCCAAGTTCGTTCCAGTTGTCCCCACGTCTCAGCCTATTCCCAGGTAGTGCCACGCGTTGGGTGGGGAACCGTGTCCCTCCTTTCAGGGAGGCAAGGCGCTTCCCTCCCTTACAAACCCTAAAATCCGAGCATGTGGTTTACTTTCCCCTGGGCAAGCACAGGGAGAAACATCAGCACCTTTTCCCTCCTGGCATCTGCAGCACCCTGCACTGCCCTTTTTTTCGGAGCGTGGTTTGGGAGGAAGGACCAACCAAACCAGGGTGGTTCAGCCTGCGGCTGGGGTGGGGACGGGCCTCTGGTTTCTGCTATGGGTGGGTGAGTTTGGAAGGAGTTCATCCTGTCCCTTCCCAGGGGGTCTGAGCTCATCCTTGCTTTCTTTAGCAATATTCCCAATCGCTCGACGTTCGTGTGCCCGTACTGTGGAGCCCGGAACCTGGACCAGCAAGAGCTGGTGAAGCACTGCATGGAGAACCACCGCAACGACCCCAACAAAGTGGTGAGCAACACCAGGGCGCTGGGACGGGCTGGTTCTGTGCGGGATAACTCCTGGAAATCCAAATACACTGTAGCCGATGCTGCATCTGAAGCCACCTGGGCACAGAGCTGCTGCTGTACATGAAGTACAGCTGGATTTCCAGCTCGTTTAGTTTGTTTTAAATCCCTTTGATGGGAGGTGGGGACTTGCCTCTGCTTTGCTAGAGGCTCTCTGGAATGAGCTGCCTACCTCCCCCTGCGCCTGCGACCCGGGTGCTGCAGGATTTCCCCTCCCCATCCCCTCTGGGTTGACCGAGGTGGGGAACTTGCAGCTCTGGCACCATCTCAGAGGCGCTTGCGCATGAACGAGTAACTTGTCAGCGGGCTACCAGCAGCCTGAGCCACGTGCCAGAGGCTCTGTGCACCCAGGGATCTGCGTGGGGGGGATGGGAGGCCCCCCTTATTTAGCCTGTCCTCTGCAGGACACCCTCTGTGAGAGGGGGGACCACTGCTCACCTCTCCCTCGTGTTGCGGCTGCACCAGCCCCCCCGGGGGGGATCATAGAATCATCGAATCGTTTAGGTTGAAAAAGACCTTTAAGATCATCCAGTCCAACCATCAACCTAACACTGCCAAGTCCACACTAAACCAGTTAAGGATGGAGTAATAATTAATTTCATGTTTCCTGGCTTGGTGGCTGGATTAGTTTTTAATGGAAGTAAAACTAGGAATCATTCAGGTTGGGATGGACCTCTCAGATCATCAGTCCAACCATTGACCCAACACCCCCATGCCCACTAAACCATGTCCCCAAGTGCCACCTCTGCCCATTTTTTGAACCCCTCCAGGGATGGGGACTCCCCCACC